CGCCAAAAAATGTATGGAAGGAAAGGATATGGAACGGAAGGGAAACGGAACGGATAGTGTGCATTGTCCTATTCATTTACATGATATAATATTTTATGTAAACGGAAGGGAGCTGATATGGAAGTTATAGCGAGAATCAACCTTAATTCTAAAAGAATAATCTACTATTTCGATTTCTAAAATAAATATAAACAGTGCACTTGAGAATAAAGGTTTTTAATTAGTAGAATATCATAACGTGTAATTGCCAAGTCATTATAATTATTACAAACTTCTAATATGCAACCTTAAATTATTAACTATTAATATAAAAATTACTTCGTCGAATAACACGATATTATATTTAAATATATTTTTAAATAGTTGAAACGGAATATTTACAAGTTAAATATTTGATAACGAATATAAGTTTTACTTACTTTTAAAATATAAATTTTGTTCATTAAAACTCTGAGTAAAGGAATATCCCTAATTTTAAATTAAGAGCCATCTTCTTATTGCTTACACTTAAGAAAAGTTCCCACTTCGATAATGATCCTTTGAATTTGAATGTTCTATTAAAATTCATCTGAACGATGAAACTAAATTAAAGTTTTTATTAAGATTTAGAAATAGAGAATGTAGCATAGCTTCACTTTCTTTATAACGTAGTTTTTGTCTTTGCGGCAAACAATCTGCAAGTTTAACAAAGACACGTTTAGAGCTAAAATTATTTAAGCATAAACAGCGAATAGGGTAATTCACATTTAAAGGCGTATCTTATAAAACAGTAGATCTTCGTTCTAATTAGATACAATGCATATTCAAGTATTTTAAAATTGTTTTAATTTTATAGTTATTTCCATTATTAATATTTCAAAGGGTTTTTTTCGCAATATTAATTATAATTCACCAATCTTAAAACAAATACAAACTAACTTGATCTGCTGGATATTTGACAACAAATACAGAAAACTTTTTTTGTAAAATGCGGATTGAAAGACTATCATAACATTAAAAGTTAATTAGAAGAATCCGTAAAATAAAAGCTTTCTCTTTAATGAGATCTATATATTTTAAATAGTTTTTAAAAGTAAAAAATGTGTTTAGCACTGCTTGCGAGGCAAATCTAATTAAGGTAGTGAATTGATGATTGATCTATTTAGAAAAATAAATAATTTTTTATACAGGGTATTTCAAGAAACATATGCCATCTCTCGTGGGGAGATTCCTCACGTAAAAATAAGATTAATTTTTCATATCCACCGATTCCACTTTGTTTCGTATACTCTGTTTTTTTTTCTCAGGTAAGATTTCGACAGACGATGGCAGAAAAAAAGCAGATGACGTCCATACCAATCCATTTATCTAACTAAAAAAAGTTTTTAGTTATGCGTCATCTCTTGTTGTTTTAAACCAGTTTTATTGGTTTATTTCAAAAATGGCAGATAATATTTCAATATTATTGGTTTGGCGGAAAGAGGAACGACAAACGAACGCCGATGCGCGTGAACTCGTCTTAAGATTTTTGAGAGTTGTGAACTATGGTTGTCAAACTTTTGCCAAATTATAGGTTATAATTTTGTGTCAAATTATGTTAAATAGAAACGATAAATAATTTGCATTCTGGACTTTGTTATTACGTGTGTTTCGTGTCTTTTTGTAGTGTTTGTAGTTTGAAGTAGATGAAAACTCGCGGGAAAATTAAGTGTTGACCCAGACCATAGTTTACAGTTAATATTTGGTGCCCAGAGACAGTTTGCTAGAGATTATCGCCAGAGAGTTGTATTACCCACAAATAAAGTTTGTATACTACATGTATACTATCTTGTATATGATGCCAAAAACTGGAGTATCTGTAAAATAGCAGCACACGATAGGTAAATAATAATCATATAGAATAATTATATTGATAATAAAATAAAAATAATAAGTGTAACAATAAATGCAGGAAGTTGCTTGAGCTTGAAACACGGCTTGAAAACAGGAAATATATTTTTTTGGTATGTGGCGTTTTTTAAATACACCCTTGCTTGATTTGTATTAACACATACTGTAATTGTTTTTAATAAAATAACTCGATTAGATATTTTCAATTTTATACAATTTTTTTTCATAATATTTTGAAGTAATCACTTGTCACTCAAATTTTAAATATACTAATTTTCTGCTATGCGTTCCAATTGTACCAACTTATTTCTTTATAAAATAAAATAAACTACTTTGAAAATAAAATGACAGACACATCTATTATTACTGTCAAGGATCTTGTCGTTGGACAGACTATAGCTGCACCAGGGTAAAATCTTCATTTTTTTTCGATTTATTATAATTAATTTTCTTCTTAAAATACTTTTAGCGATTCAAATAAAATTTGGAGGACGAAAGTTACTATGAGTGCTATATAGAAGGTGGCGCACCTCATTCACCTCGTTTGATTATACGAAAACGGAAAGATGTAAAAACAAAATTTTTTATGGGTATATGTAGAGAGGCAATGTGCATAATTTAAAATTATTTTCAAATGTACAGGGTGTGTCAGAACTAAGATCCATACCAAAGTTATATTTTTTCTTATGGAACACCCGGTATTTTATTTCATTTTTGGATTCTTGGGTATAAAATAAGGCATTTATTATAAAGGTTTAATATGTTTAAAACCTTTGGTTTTTGAGATAATTTAAACATTGTACATTTGATAATTTAAACCCTGTAAATTCTTGTGCTGACTTTGAAGCCAGAGAAATAAACTTTACCAAAAATTTTTATTGTTTCCTTAAATGTATACAGGGGTATCAAAAATTGCTGGTTTATTTTAAATATCTATTGTATATCAATACTTCGTTATTTGAAGTCGAAGCAGATTTAAATGCTCTTTCAAACTATATTAGGGTTTCCTATACCTATCTGGCTCAGATTTTGAATAAAAAGCGATTTTTCAATAAAATGGCAATCAAGATGGCTTGTGTCGCCATGGCAATTTGCTAGTGACAGGTAGTAGCTATTTTTAAAAACGACATTAGTGTATGGACTTTATTTAAATTTATAACAGTTTAATTTTACTTAATTTACCTACAATAGTTTAATAAGTAAGAAGTATTTATTATTTTATCAAGAAAAATAAAAAATTAGTTCTTTGATTTATATTATGGTGACTTGTAGATAGATATTATTATATATATATAGATATTGGATTGTCTTTATCTATAAAATAACCAATTAAGGCAAATTCATTTTCTTCACTTCCAACGACAGGTTTCTGCCTAATAGATTTTTCACATACCACACTATCAGTTCTGCGAAATAGGAAAAGTAGTATTTCAAAGGAACTATTGTCAAGAAAATTCCTATTTAGATATCTTTGGGCATAAACCCTTCAGGCCAACCAAGCAATTGTCCTCACAAAATAAAATAACTAGTAACATATCCATTCCTTCCGCCAGCAGATACTGCTTCATTTTTCTTGATAAAATAATAATTACTCACTTATTAACTATATTGTAGGTAAATTAAATAAAAATAACCTGTTATAAATTTAAATAAAGTCCATAAACTAATGTCGATTTTGAAAATAGCTACTAAGTGTCACTAGAAAATTGCCATGGACACACCAGCCATCTTGATTACAATTTTATTGAAAAATCGCTTTTTATTCAAAACCTAAGCCAGATAGGTATAGGAAACCCTAATATAGTTTGAAAGAGCATTTGAATCCGCTTCGATTTATTTAAAAAAATACAGGATGTTGTATTTGAAATAACGAAGTTTTTATGTAAAATAAATGTTTAAAATAGACCAGCAATTATTGATACCCTGTATAAATTAAACGAAGCAATCACATTTTTCAGTAAAGTTTATTTCTCTGCCTTTAAACTCAGCACAAGAATTAATTCTGAAAAGCAATGTACAGGGTGTGAATAATATATTCTATTGTAGCATGCATTTTTAAATATCTTTAAATATCTCAAAAACCAAAGATTTTGAACATATTTAACTCTTATAATAAATACCTTTTTTTGAGCATAAGAATCCAAAAATGAAATAAAAAACCGGGTGTTCCATAACAAAAAATATAACTTTGGTATGGGTCTTAGCTCTGAAACACCCTGTAAATTTCAAAATAATTTTAAATTGTGCACATTGCCTCCCCACATATACTCATAAAATATGTTGTTTCTACATCTTTCCATTTTCGTATAATCACCCAAGGCGAATGAGGTGCGCCACCCTGTATTTCAATACTAAAAGAAAGTGTCGACAAATCGGCATTAAAGGAGAAAGAGGAAAATAGTCAGTGGTGCACATATTTTTTATTAACAAAATTTCAATGAAAACCCATATGCACGTCCCTGGTAAATATGTCAACACTTTTTTAGCATTAATATTTGTTGCACTTATAGTAACTTTTACCCTCAAAATTTCATTGGAATCGCTAAAATAAAAGAAAATTAGAATAAATCAAAAAAATATAAAAATTTTAACCCCCTGTAGCTACAAAACAGACTCGGGCCTATGTTTAAAAATAAATTTAATTTTTACGTGAGGAATCTCCCCACGAGATACGGCACATGTTTTTTAAAACACCCTGTAGATAAATTAAAGGACAGTACCGGCTGGGATCAAACCCAGTGCAGCTGCTCAAAGTTTGTTACGTGAACTGTAAATTACTCTTTTTTTAAATACAAGGGTATCAGAAAACAGTACAGTAATGTCACACATTTCCCAGTGAGCAAAGATTTGTCACATTTAGGGAAGAACAGTTACGTATCTACGTTTATTGCTTCATAATAGGCAAAAGATGGGCCTGGTAACGTAGCAACGACGTCACCTAGAACACATTTTCCTTAAAGGAATAAAATACTCACTGGGTTCAGTCAGAAATATCACTGACCGTGAAGTGTGATCTGCCAAAAACTTTGTATAAGTAAAATAAACAAAGACAATGGAATTTCGAAATTATTTCAGTTGCAATACTAAATCATAGTCTACAAATTTCAAAGGATATTTTTGATTTATTACAGGACAACAGGAAGTCCCCAAGCAAAATCACCAGCTGGCAGCAGTGCTGGAGCATTGGTACCCTCAGAAGCCCGTACCCCCACAGCACCCGCCAACAAAGCCTTGCAGAATGTCAAGGGGGACCATCCGTCGGTAAGCCAGGATGTAAGCATGATCATTGTTATTTTGCTAGATTGTTAAGTGTTGAAGGCGAAAGAAGCTTACACAGTGTATTAATGTCTGATTTTGCGTAATAAATTATACTGCTAGATGAAAATAAACTTGATATGAAACAACTAATGAGTACAAGAAGAATAGTCGTACTATAGTTTGCGACATCATTAAATAACTATATAATAATAATTTAATAATCTTTATTTCTCAGTAATACATATTTTTTATATTTCTTATATTAAATATTATAGTAGGAACCTAATTAAAAAATACAAATATTTAGAAATTGCCCGATATCACTTGTTTAATAAATATACAACGGCACCGTCGAAATTCTGAAATCGCTGCAATTTTTTTTAATTCCAGGACAGCATAAATGAAGTAGCTATAATTAATAATAAGAAAAGCAGCCGGTCTATATTTTTATATGTTTGATATAGTTTGTTTTTACAACATTTAATAAATAATAAATATGTTCATCCCAAACAATTTATATTTACAATCACATCCTGCTAATTAAATTCCATACTAAAGAAATAAATTGGAAAACTCCACATTGTAAACTTGTACGGGGGGTCTATCAAAGTATCTGTATTGATAGATATAAAAAAACTACTACTAAATATATACAGGGTGACGCCACCTCATTCACCTCGGTTGATTATACGAAAACGGAAAGATGTCCAAACAAAATATTTTATGGGTATATGTGGGGAGGCAATGTGCACAATTTAAAATTATTTTCAAATATACAGGGTGTTTCAGAACTAGGATCCATACCAAAGTTATATTTTTTCTTATGGAATACCCGGTATTTTATCTCATTTTTGGATTCCTGGGCCCAAAAAAGGCATTTATTATAAGGGTTACATATGTTTAAAATCTTTGGTTTTTGAGATATTTAAAGAAATTTAAATTTGCATGCTAGATTAGAATAGATTATTAACACCCTGTACATTTCTTTTCAGAATTAATTCTTATGTTGAGTTTAAAGGTGAAGAAATAAACTTTATTGAAAAATGGTATTGCTTCCTTAAATTTATACAGGGGTATCAAAAATTGCTGATTTATTTTAAGGATTTATTTTATATAAAAACTTCGTTATTTCACATGCAACACCCTATATTTTTTAAAATAAGCCGAAGCAGATTCAAATGCTCTTTCAAACTATATTAGGGTTTCCTATACCTATCTAGCTCAGATTTTGAATAAAGAGCAATTTTTCAATAAAATGGCAACCAAGAGGGCTAGTGTCATCATGACAAGTTTCTAGTGACAGTTAGTAGCTATTTTCAAAGTCAAAATTAGTTTATGGACTTATTTAAATTTATACTAGCTTACTTTTATTTAATTTACCCCTATAATATATAATATATTATAGTTTAATAAAAAATATTTATTAAATTTGTATTTATTGTTCTATCAAGAAAAACGAAGAAGTAGTAGTAGTAGTAGTTCTTTGATTTATTTTACGATGACTTATAGGATATAATGGATTTACTGTAAAAGAGCCAATTGCGGCAAATTCATTTTCATCACTTTCAACGACAGGTTTCTGCCTAATAGTTTTTTTACAAACCACATTACCAGCTCTGCGAAATAGGACAATAATTTGACAAGTTTTTCAAAGGAACGCTTAATAAAAAATATTTATTAAATTTGTATTTATTGTTCTATCAAGAAAAACGAAGAAGTAGTAGTAGTAGTAGTAGTTCTTTGATTTATTTTACGATGACTTATAGGATATACTGGATTTACTATAAAAGAGCCAAATGCGGCAAATTCATTTTCATCACTTTCAACGACAGGTTTGGTTTAATGGACAATAATTTGACAAGTTTTTCAATGGAACGCTTATTAGAAAGATTCCTATTTGGATATCTTTAAGCATAAGCTCTTGAGGCCAAGAAGCAATTTCCTTCACAAAATAAAATCACTAGTAACATATCCATTCCTTTCGCCAGCAGATACTGCTTCATTTTTCTTGATAAAATAATAATTACTCACTTATTAACTTTATTGTAGGTAAATTAAATAAAAATAACCTGTTATAAATTTAAATAAAATCCATAAACTAATGTCGATTTTGAAAATAGCTACTAAGTGTCACTAGAAAATTGCCATGGACACACCAGCCATCTTGATTACAATTTTATTGAAAAATCGCTTTTTATTCAAAACCTAAGCTAGATAGGTATAGGAAACCCTAATATAGTTTGAAAGAGCATTTGAATCTGGTTCGGTTTGTTTTAAAAAATACAGGGTCTTGCATTTGAAATAACGAAGTTTTATAAAAAATAAATCCTTAAAATAAATCAACAATTTTTGATACCCCTGTATAAATTCAAGGAAGCAATACCATTTTTCAATAAAGTTTATTTCTTTGCCTTTAAACTCAGCACAAATAATAATTCTGAAAAGTAATGTACAGGGTGTTAATAATCTATTCTATTGTAGCATGCAAATTTAAATTTCTTTAAATATTTCAAAACCAAATATTTTAAATATATGTTGTAATAAATGCCTTTTATGGGCCCAATAATCCACAAATGAAATAAAATACCGGGTGTTCCATAAGAAAATATATAACTTTGGTATGGATCGTAGTTCTGAAACACCCTGTACATTTCAAAATAATTTTAAATTGTGCACATGGCCTCCCCACATATACCCATAAAATATTTTGTTTATATCTACACCTTTTCGTTTTCGTATAATCAACCGAGGCGAATGAGGTGCGCCACCGTGTATATGTTACGGTTAAAGTCCGATGTCCGGTTAATGTCGACATTACCCGGTTAATCTCGAGAATAACACACAACAAAACAACCAAAAACATAACCTAACCCAAACATTAACAAGTTAATGTCGACATTAACTGGGCATCGTCGGATTAACAAATATATATTGACAAATATTATAAAAAGCGAGTCATAACAAAACGAATTATAACAAAACTTTGAATTGAAGAATATAACAAATAGTAAAGTTCAAACCACTTATATTAATAATTATTTATTTTGGTTGATACATTTTTTGTTATGAAATATACATTTTGTGATGTTTTTTAAGGTTTATCTATTCTATTTATTTTTTTATATATTTTTGCTATTTCTGTTTAAAAAACATTCGATACTCTAAAATAAGAAGCGTCTCTTAAAGAGAAATAAACCAAGAAGGATATGAAACAGTTAAACCTTGAAGTCACTGAAGCATTTATTACAAAATATATTTTTTACAAAAGATCGTCCTCTCCCGATCTTTGCAAGCCCTTAGCAACACAATTTTAATTTTACGCTTTTTCTCAATATATAGATTTACGTAATCTATTTAATACTTCTGTTTAGTTATATATTATTTTGTTTTGTCGTACTTAATTTCTCTTACTGTATGTGTATTAGTTATACAGTTCTAATTTTGTATTGCTAAGACGACCGACTTTTAAAAATATTATGATACTTGTTTTTAATCTAGTAACTATGAATACGATTTTTCAAAATTAATTGCCACTGATTACAACATTTTTGAATGAAAAACTTTGTCTTTGTCTTTTATTTTCATTTAGATTGTATAGAAATAGTTTAAACTTTCCACCCAGTAGACAAATAGGAATTTTGTAATACAACATAGCTTTCAATTTTGTTGTCTATGTTCTACAAAACCGTATAGTTGCTACTGGATTAAACTTATAATTTATAGTCTTTAGTTTTTAAAAACTATTGATTATTATTGGTCAAATAATAGAAAGTATTATTTCGCCCAACAAATTGTTTTCTGAACCAACTGAATATAGTACAGCTACATTAGAGTGTCCCTAAATAAACTTAAAAGAATACCACGTAACAGGAGATATAAAAAAATCAATGAACTCAAAAACGATGTAATATTATGCCTACAAGAAAGTTCTCCCTTGAGTGAACTATTTGTTGAGGTTTTATGATTTTTAGCATAATGCTTACAGACATATATTAGTTTTTTTACTTCGAATTTCTAATTTACTAAAAATCAGTAACGCAATAATACAAATTTATTTATTTAATATTTTTGCTATTTACAAAATGCACATAAAGCTTCTTTCGCCTATAAGTATAATAATATAAAAGGTATTGTGTGATGGATAAACTAATTATTATAATACATAGAAACGATTAATTTTAAGTTGTTATTAACATAATTTACCAAATATATAGATAATGACACAAAAAACAAAATATATAGATATAACCTACAAAATATATAGATATAACCTACAAAATATATAGATAAAAAGAGGAATATAATGAAAGATTAGAGAGAGTTTAATTGTTAATTAAGCGGACGTTATAATTTATAATGATTAAAACATATACAGAAATATTAGAAATATTTTATGTTTTACCTGAAAAACTATTAGAGATAAGTATAGGAGAATATTATAACTACCAGAGACTTAGAGTCCTATTGCTTTGTCTTTTGTATTTATAGAAAAATGATGAAAAATAAAAGTAGTTTATAAAAATGTATTAATATACCGGGTGTTCTTTTTACAATAACAAATATGTTACCGCTAATAAAATGAAGTAACTGTAAACATATAAAAATTATAATATTCCTAAAATTTCTATTGACATTTCTTCATCATCTTCTAAGGCTATCATCGCTGTAATCACCCTATATATTCCACGAATTTCTACTCCAACAATTTTGTTGATATTTTATAGAATATTATATAGAAATAGAAGATTAGTTTAAGACTATTAACACCCAGAAAATTAAAAGCCTAAACGAAATTAATTCAAGTTGCAATATAAAAGGGATCAACTTGCAAAGTATATTTAATTAATGAAAATTAGGTAGGGGAAATGACTGCCAAAGTTTTGAAATGGAGTTTGCTTTTTTGGTGGTAAAACTGAGAAATTCCATTTAGGTAATTTTGACGTTTAATGCCGCAACGGTTTAAATACGCCAAAATGTATAGCATTTAATCTGAGGCTATTAAA